GTAGGTGGGACTACAGCTCTGCATAGTGCACCCAGGTGATGCATGGACATTTGTGTTCCTTGACAAAGTAACGAAGACAACCATTTCTGGAGATCCACATTCAAAAAGATTTTACCACACCATTTTTTTTTTTTTACTAACAAATCAGAACTCTTCTCTAGAAGCAAACATTTTCCAGCTTCTTAGTTACCATTGGCAACCTTTCCAGAGTGCTTGCTAATTATTTTAAACTTGAAATGAAAGTTTTCTAATAAGTCCATTTTTATTTTGGTGAAATTAAAAAAATACTTTAAAGCTGGAGTCATAGCTCAGCAGAACACCTGTCTAGCAAGCCCCGAGTTCAAATCCCAGTACTCCTTCCCCTGCCCAACAACAAAAACTTTAGAAGACCATATAATAAAGAATATTGAAAGTTATAAATCTGTGTTGTTAATGACTTTTTACAGACAAAAGTCAATTCTTCTTTTTTGGACAGAATAATCTCTTAAGGACATACCAACACCCAGGAAAAGTTTAAAAATTCAAAAGGGCAGTCTAGACAACATAGATTACCAAGGTTGTCATTTGTGTTTATGTTTCAATGAAAATTATTAGTCCTTTAAGAATAAAGTGCACAACTTAGAGGTATGTGACACAAAAATAGTTAAGTAAACAAAATGACCTTTATATTTTGTTTTACAATGTTCTGGAGGGTGGGTGGACACAGTACAAGAAGCAGTGGAAACAGATGAAACAAGATAGGTGACATCTGCCTAGCAAGTGTGAAACCCGTATTTAAACCCCAGGACTGCAAAAAAAAAAAAAATCTATAGGGATTTTTTTAAGTTTTGAAAAGCACATACAATATGATCCCCATTTTAGAAGAAAAAATTCTTAGAAAAATAACCAAAACTTATCAGGTTTGGGGTTGATTATTTTCCTTAGCTGGGTGTAGTGGTGCATGCCTGCAGTCCTAGCTAACTGGAGACAGAGAAAGGAAGATCTCTTGAGTCCAGGTATTTAGGCCAGGCTTGGCAACATAGGGTGAACATGACTCTTAAAATAAAAACACAACACAGAAATACAAGAATTATCTTTTTCTTTGTCCTATCAGAAAACTTTTAACAGGGAAATTAGAAAGTAAACTGGTTGCCAAATGTTACCACTGAGATAAATTAGGGAAAGTTACATGGGATCTCTCTGTATCATTTGTTACAGCTGCATGTGAAGGGGCTGAGGATGTAGATCAGTGGTAGAGCACTCGCCTAGCACATGCAAGGCCCTGAAAGAGAAAAAAAACCTTCCTGTCTGACAATTGCATGTGAACTTATACTCATTGCAATAAATATTTTAATTTAAAAAGTAAACTGAGCTGGGTGCTGGTGGCTTACACCTATAATCCTATCTACTCAGGAGGCAGAGATCAGGAGGATCTCAGTTTGAAGCCAGTCAGGGCAAATAGTTCACAAGACGTTATCGTGAAAAACCCTTCACAAAAATAGGGCTGGTGGAGTGGATCAAGGTGAAGGTCCTGAGTTCATGCCCCAGTACTGCAACAACAACAACAACAAAAAGTAAACTAAGGGCTACAGGCATGGTTCAAGTGCTAGAGAGCCTACCTAGCAAGTGTGTAAGCACTGAGTTCAAATCTCATTTCCAAAAAGAAAAAGTTGGTAAATTGAAACAGGAAGGATTAAGTGTTCAAATCAGTAAACACAGGCATCTTGCAGATGGTGATTATCTTTCACTTCAATTGCAAAGAATTTCAAATAGAACACAATAACACTACACAACAAACCCAACAATGCAAAATGCATTAATATTATTAACTATACCCATTCACTGTCGAGGAACAAATAAGATGATTTTTAAGAAATGGTTACCTTCCCAAAAAAGAAAGTGTTCTCTCCACCATACACCTCTCACATGAATGAGCAAATAAAGCTTTATGCATGAAACAGATCAAACTTTGCTTCCCCGCTTGGATGCCTTGAGAAGATGTTACCTTGTCCTATTTATAGAATACTACAAAAGGCAGGTAAGGTAGGTGGACATGAAAGGACATCTCTTTCTAATTCTTCTGTCTTAGTTATGCCATGGGTCACTGGCCTCATCCAAAGGGGAGGGAAAAAAAATCCGTAAGGTCCATAAGGAGAAATGGAAACTCCTTGAGGGATACCTGCTTTCATTTCACTTGCTCTTTAAGCTGCTTTTGTGACAGCCACATTTTCAGACTGGTAGGAACTCATTTAACAATAAAACAAATAGCCATTATTGGTTCATGTTTTCGCTTTAAATGTTCCTCAAGTAACCCAAATCCTTATACTATCAGAACAAATTCACTAGAGAACATGTCTTCACAGTGTCGAACAAACCAAGTTAGAGGAGATCAGAGACAAAGGCCCTTTACTTCTAGCAGTGGGAGTTGTTTAATATCACTGACTGCACAGGTGCAAATTCTGTCAGCTACATACACCTGAAAGAGTCCATGCTTTATTAACCATAATATTTCTAGTACAATCACACTTGCAAGGTGCTCATAGTTTTCTCGGTTAAACTGAAAGTTAAAAACATTTAAAATTTAAATTATTGTAATTAATTTACAGGAACTAGTTTTTCTGTGCTCATAATGCCAGCACTTGGGAGGGTAAGGTAGGAGGACATCAAGTTCGAGGCCAGAGGCGGGTACTGAGACACTTTTCTTTAAGACACTGTCTCAAAAGAAAAAAAGGGGGGGAGGGAGGGAATTTATGATTTTAATTTTTGGCTGGGTTTGTAGCTCATTTGTAGAACACATTCTTAGCAGGCAGAGGCCCTAGGTTCACTGCCAGGACCCAAATAAATGTTTTAAATAAAATTTTACCCTTAAAAGAGACAGAGCCTCTGATTCATATCCCTTTTTTGGAGCCTCAAGTATGCCACTTCAGACTCTCCTACCTATCAGAATAGGCCAAAATATACCTGAATGTTGACACAACACAGGTTTGTCAATAGTCTTAGTAGCACTATTGTCACATAAGGCTAAAAATGAATGTTCTGTCAAAAATGTAAAATGTTTTGTTCTTCAAATTTGCTTTTTAAATTACTTCAGGCTAAGATGCACCACAGTGGTAGAGGACTTGCTTAGCATGTACAACTATGAGTTGTAAAAGATTTAACATACAGGGATGGGGCCAAAATGATAAAACCATTTAAGATATGAATGTCACCCCTTTTTGCTTTTGGGGCTTTAATTCAACACTCATGGTTTCATTTCTAAGAGATTCCTTTTTGTGATAGGGCTCAGACAGTTATTCAGTAATAGAACTGGTTACTGTGCAAGTGTACTGTTGGTCTGAGAAGTGCACCCGGCACACAGAGGGATGCTGCAGTCCAGCCCTGACATTCTGATGACATAAGAAAGGTAGACAACGACATTCTGTTTAACCAGAGGTCACTAGCAGCAAGTGATTATCCCAGAGACCAGAGGTAACAGAATTGTGTTGGAGTAGTTGCCCGACTTGGTACTAACCATGAATAGTTACTCATATTCTGACCTTTTTTTTTTTTCCTTTCTGGTGCTGAGGATCAAACCCAGAACTTCAGTGGGGGCTAGGCAAGCACAATAGGGCAACCCTGTGGCCTTTCCACCCCTTCAAAGGACAACAGCTGACAACTATCTTCCAAATCTAATTTCCCAATAGAATATACAATTATTTTCAACAGCACTGATATTTGAAAAACTCCTAATAACCAAATATAATTAAAAGAGACTCAGCCGGATATGATGCACAGGATCGGCAGGTATAGGAAGGAGGATGGTGATACAAGGTGTAAGAAAGACACTACCTGAGAAATAACTAAAGCAAAAAAAGGCCTTGGGTAGGGGAGGTATATGGGGGGGCAACCCCCAAGTAGTAGAGTACCTGCCTTATAAATGCAAGGCCCTGAATTCAAACTCCAGTATGGGGGGGAGTGCACTACGTGAGACCCCAAAGTTCTTGCCCCACACTGGAAACTCTGCTCTGGAGGAAGAATAATACAATCCCACTTAAAAATTTAGGAATCAGACAGGTTAGTTCCAGGCCATTTATCAGAAGCCTCACTCATGTACTCATAGAGGCACTCAAAACATTTAGTCTAAATAGCTTACGCTAAGAAAAAGAAAAATCCTGGTGGAAATGGTTTTGCTTTCTAAAATTCTGAACAATACTGCCTTTACCAAAGTAAATTTTGACATTAATAAAGTGAACTGGCTAAACAAAGATATTGTAAGATTTTGTTGAAAAACAATTGATAGAATGAGAGGTCATTTCTTATATAACCAAGTTAGAATCACAGGCGCAGATTGAAAAGGGACACCAAAAACGTGGTCAATCCCATTTTGCTTAAAATTAAAATCCAGAAAGTTTGAGTGATTTGCCCCAGTGAGAAGCAGTGAAACTAAAACTCAGCTCCCTCTCATCTCCCTAACCGACAACATTCTATTATACTCTCCTATCTCCCAGAAATTGACTACCACCAAAAAGAAGCAGAGACTTAAAATATGTATCCCCTAAGAAAATATTGAGTAACTTAATTCTGGCTTTATTTATAGTAAAGACTTAAGGGGAAAAGAATACAAACCCTGGAAAATGTAAAGCAACAGTTTTGGGTTTTTTTATTCTAGGTTGACATGAGTTCATGCTGCTTAAAAAAAACACAATAATTTCCATTATGAATTTTTCTGTCTTGCGATTCATTTCCATGACACTGACACCCTATCTTAAGGTTTACAGTACCACTAACATGGCCCTGTGATAGGACTGCAAAGGGGAAGGTGAATGCATAGGCACCCTAAAAGATTATGCTACCCATATGTGGTTAAGAAATAAACTTTTTTCAGTTTATCTTGAAACAACTTCTTGGTCAGAGATATGACCAGAAGCTGTAGCCTGCTAACCTTCAGTGTGGCAGACAATATTCTTTTGTGTACTCAGGCACTGGCTATCAAAGGAGTTCTTTGTTTCTGTCCTTTCTTTGCACTTCCTTCAGAGACTTACCTAGGATAGTATGCTGTGTAGTTCATGAAGAGCTGAGTGCCTGCTGGGTAATATGCCGTGGAGGGCTGCAGTGCTCGTGGATTCAGAAGCACAGAGGGCTGATAAATGGCAGCTTCTGTAGGAATCACAGCTGCAGGAGCTGGGAATGTGTAGGAGGGAGGAGACAGGCCTAAATAACCAAAGAGAAAGTCTTTGAGACACATTTGTAACAGCTGACACATGTGTGTTAACACTAAAGACATGATGGCACTTTTCTACCTACACATTTTAAAGGAAACACTATCACAGTTCTTTACATCATCCCAAGCAACTTCCTTTAGATTACAGTTTTGTCTACCCTGCAGTAAAATAAAATGGAAAAGGTAAGATAAAACACCTTACCAGGTATTATGCCAATCTGTATCTTCAGACCAGTAAACCAAAATCCAACATGGGACACATCCATGAAGAAACAGATGTAGAAGACTTCCCAAGAGTCATCAAAAAAAATGGGCCCAGGGACTAAGGGTGTGGTGAAGTAGGATAGGGTATGTTTAGCATGTGTGAGGCACCGTGTTTGATCCCCTAACACCACTGCGTGTGTTGGGGGAGGGGGAGAACGGACTTCCTTTGTCTTCTCTTATCCCACATCTTCTCTGCACAGAAACTCCCCTAGGTTGGAGCAGTTGTGGGGCACTAGCTTTCACACGTGTGATGAGTACAACTAGCCAGACCATCTGCACTGAACAGAAAAAATAACTGAGAAGCTGACTGGCTTTGAGTCCTAGACATTAAGCCTCATCCTAGAACCACCAAATTCTGAAAATAGTAGAGGCCCAAGGGAGAACTTTCACATGAAAACCTCCAAGATGATTTCTAGTTGTCCTTTGTTCTTATGAGTTTCTCTATTTCTATGGAGATGAGTAAGACAAGTTGAATACAAGTATACAGATGAAAGGCTAATACTGATATCACATTCGACTTGGAGTGACTCTCTTCCTTTCCTTCCTTCTTTTCCTTCCTTTTTCTTCTCCTCCTATCCCTTCCCTTTCCTTTCCTCATTCTTTTCTCTCTCTCTCTTCCTGGTTCTGGAGATTGAACCCAAGGCCTTATTTATGTCAAGCAAGTGCTCTACCACTGTGCTACAACCCCAGCCCTTTGTTTTTTGTGACAGAGTCTTGCTATGTAGTCCAGGCTGGCCCTGAACTCTGATCCTACTACCTTAGCCTCCTGAGTGCTAGAATTACAAGCATGTGTTACCATACTCAGCTGTGGGTACCTCATTCATACTCACCAAAAACTAGGCTAGATGCTAGTTACCTATAAAATTTTAAATTATGTTCTCTGGCCTTAAAGGACCCACAGAAAATCTAATAGTACAAATTAAGAGGCTAGTGTATTACAGAAAATGATACAACCTGTGCACATATTCTCAATATCAACCAATTCATTATAGGACAGTCCACACAATGAAGACAAGTAATAGTAGGTATAAGTCCTACAACAGTAATTAAGTCTGTTCTGCTTCAAAACAAAGAAAGGTAGACATTTTTTACAACTGAAGAGCTTATGCTGCTAAGATGTGGGCATTCCTAAAGTGAAGGCACGGCTCTTACATTCCTATAAAAATAAATAAATAAGGTGTGTACATGTATAGACCACAAAAATGAAATTGACTATAAAACATTCCTTCTTAATGAACTTAAGTGGCAAATGTTAACACATCAGCAAAACTCTAGCAACAAGAAACTCTTCAGTGGGAAATGTTAACCAATCATTATTTTAACTGTTCGGCTTTTGAGATAGATTTTAAAACCTGCCATTTCTGTAAGTTTTGTGGTCATTGTTTATTTAGGCAGTCACCTAAAGTATGGTGGCAGGAAAAAGTTCAGTAGAACAGACATAATAATAGCATGTAAAAAGTGGATTTTGGATTTTCTGCTAAAAAGACAAATTTACAAATTTTGGTTAAAATTTTTGTCTTTGTTTTTCAGAAAGTATTAAAGGTAACCAAAGATACAGAAATATATTCTTACATGAAACATGGGTTTACATTTTTTTTCCTTTCTTGGAGCTTGTGAGGAAAAAAGGGAAGAAATGAAGAAAGTCTGTAATAAGCAGTTTTCCACCAGAAGAGAAGTAAAAGGATATCACAGCAGAAAAATTGGGGTCGTACATGATGGAGAAATTCCTCTATCTCACAATATTTGATACACTGTCACTAAAGGATATTATAAAAGCCACTAGCATTATTCAGTGGCTTACAGACAGAAGACACACAATTGGATTACTTTAAGATATTTTCTTAAATGCAGTCATGAATTTTCAAAACTTTATACTCATTAATGATCAACTCTTAGATATTCACCAACAGCAAGCAGCAGATAAATGGATTATTAAGCATTTAGGAATTCCAAGGGGGAAAAAAGGATTAAGCCCCACCAAATGTTCTCAAATAATGCTTTATCAAACAGCTTTATTAGTAGTATGGTCATGCTTACTACAAAGTAAAGCTGAAGTTCTATAACTGCCCAGTTAAATGGAATCAAACATACAAATCTAGTTTACTTTTTCAGTTAACTTTGAACTATATTCCAAGTACTATTTCCTGACTACATACCCAACATGCCTAACAAGGTATGTCTTATATATAGGTGAAAACTGCGTAAGAAAAGACTCAAGTTTCAACATTAGGTTCCCAAACGTTCCTTAGCTGCTAACTAGGACTTGATCTCTAGGCTACAGGGCTTATTCCTCTCAAACAGGATTCCAGATGGCTTGCACCCATTTGCCAATGAGCAAGAGCATGGCTTGGAATTAAGCACTGATCCTGTGATCCAATGGAAACTTTGGCTAAATCACTTACGCATTTACATATGCATACTTTTTTTTTTTCTGCTAACTTGCTCATTTCAGATATCCTGGACAACAGTACGAATGCTCTTCCAGGTTATCATTTTCAAAATATAACTGATGCTCAAAAAGTTAAAAATTCAAAATGGGCATCAAATCATCCTTTGTAAAGCTCAAGGTATTAAAGGAAATGAAAAGGATTCAGTCATACATATTTTACCTTTAAATGCGTATTAATTTATCTACATAGCCAGGTTGCCTCCCAGAGTCAGTGCTTATCTGGAGCACACTAAGCTTCAGAAACCAAGTGCTTATCACTGGAAAAGCAAGAATATAATTTGAAAGGAGGTATTTGTAGCATCTTTAATTATGGGTGTCCACAACCAAGGTCTTAAATGATTACCAGATACTACTGATTTCAGATGGGAAAGCCTTATGTAACCACCTCGCCTGCCTCAGAAAGAACCAGGGGCACAGAAAGTCATGAAAGCAGCTGAAGCACCTACCAGCATACAGCGTAGAATAGCGCCAAGACCCAAGAAAAACTTACATGGTAACTTACATGGCGGTGGGGATAAGCCATTTCGATTTAAAGTGCCCCCCATTAACACAAAGTTCATCTCCTCAGCTGAACACTGAAAGACTTCAACATATCTGTCCTTCATGGTTTTTTTATGACACTTCTGTGCAGCCATAAATGCTCTGTCCGCAGACTTCATCTGGATAAAGGCATCTCCTGATGGACGGCCCTGAGTGTGTGGGGGAAGAATAAAAACAAAAGGAGACTGTCTCCTTCAACAAGGAAATAAATGGTTGCTTATAAAACATGCAAAGTGACAATCACCCATTAGTACAGACATGTTTAGCCGCAAAATCTGGGTGACAGTGTGAGCTACTGAAATCTGATTTGAGTTTCATCCCTTTATCACCAGAATGGCCCACAAAACCTGGAAGAAACAGTTTTGAGAGCTCACAAGTGAAAGTGATCCTTTTTTGGTTTCTGTTAAATTAGTATCAGATTTACAAAGTTTTGAAAGAGTCTCCTTGTGACTGCAGTTTCAAAATATAGGATTGTGTATTAGACTTTTTTCCCTTTTGAAAAATCCGATTAAATCTCACTGGATTGAGAAAAGCTAGGAACAGAACCAGTATTAGAACTTTATGTGTCCTCCTACAGGAAGCCAAACAAACCACTTTTCTCTCTTGGCTCTCAGTCCTCGTCCATCATGGACCTGCCACATCCCTTTTGCTTTTCCTCCATCTTCCCCCATCCCTGAAGCTGGTGTTGGAATGTAGCTTGGGGTAAACAACTAAAAAGAAAAGGCACAGTGATGGGTGGTGAGAGCTGTACCATCACTTTTGCTTGGAAGCCATTCTCTTACCTCCTGTCTCTGAGCTCTACCTTAAACTTGCTCAAACAGGTGATGTTCAAAGTAAATTTTTTTTAATCAGTAGTGTTTGCTTGGTTTTACTTAATGTGAGCATTTTGTAGTAGAGAAAAAGGTAGAGCCAGGTTCTAGGACTGCTTTCCTATTTTATAATTTCTTCTCAAAGTCTCTTAGGAAGAATTTAATCCAAATTTTTACCATGCAAGTTACCATAAGAGTTACCATACCAGGGATATTAGCAATGAACCCAGTCCAGATGGAAACCTAACATCTTCAAGGCAGCTAAGAGCTTGTCCATCATCAAAGCAGCATTTTTATCCAGTGAAATCACAATAGGTCATGGAGGTCAACTGAGAGGCAAATCTGTCTACTGCTGTTAATCAAAGAATAATGTCCCCTAGGAAAAATGATGGCTCAAAAAGAAATAATTCCCTGGGGATGCTGACTTGTGGGGGATTTGATTCAAAAGGACTCCCACCGGTGAAGCATGCTAAGACGGCTGTGAGACAAAAAGGTATATGGCTTGATAACGACTTAAGAGTTAGAATGAGCATGTACTAGTATAGAATACAAGGACTCAGGAAGTTTTCTGATTCCTGACACATCCTTTCTAGTTTAGACTAAATTGCACTCATGAAAGTGAACAAACTTCCAAGTGAAAAGAAAAAGAGGGAAATTAGAAGTTAGAAAAAGAATTTCCAGTACAAGCCTACATTTTGTTTTCAAAAAGAAATACAATTTTGATTTTACTAGAGAGTACCAAATTAGAACTACTTGGCTGAGGAGTATTTGGAATTTTGTCCTGCTTAAAAGAAGACAAAATACTGGTAACTGTACAACAATTAATATTATCAATTTTATTTAACTCAAAGATGGAGGAGTTGAATTTAAGATATACTGTAAGCACGTTTGTAAACGTCACTGTATCCCCAACACAACAATAATGTAATAATAATAATAATAATCACAAATAAAGTAGCACCAAGCTATTTGGAAAACTTTTCTCTGGCATACTGAAAGAATTCAGTTTGATTTTGGTGGACATTTATGAACAATTCATTCCTTAATATAGGTAAGTGCCTCTAAGCCCCATACACTGTTAATAGGGGACATAGATATAAGTACTCATTGAGTGTGCATTCTACTGAATATAATTTAATGTCTAATATAAGTATGAAAAAAATTGAAATCAGTAATTTCTAAACACTCTGAAGGCTATAGAGGGATTCAAGCAGTAAGAACGCCTCCCTAGCAAAAAAGTCTGTGGTTGAGACACAGACATGCTCGTTATGTATTATCTGTCACTGCTCTCACACCAAAACAGCAGAGTTGCAGAGTTCAGTAGCTGCAACAGGAAAATTTTGTGTACACTAATAACATATTTGGCTCCTACCTGATGTACTGACAAGCAGATGGGTGTATGTGATGAAAAGAATCAGAGCTGAATTTTAATTTGAATAAGAGCATTCTTTCTGGAGTATATCCTAAAGACTTCCTGTATTTACGGTTAAAGCTTTTCTTAAAGACTTAGGGAAAAACTAAGAAATATTTGTACTCTATTATTAGAAGACAACACTTGAACACAGAAAGAATAGCGAATAAGTTTTCCAATACTCAACTTTCTTACCTGGTGATTCAATACCATGTGAACCCCATGTGTACGAATATCTGTGGAAAACTCCCCCAGGAAGTCCAGGATATCCTCTATTGTGGCCGCATAGGGAAGACCTCGAAGGCGTATACAGTCTCTAACATTTGTAGGGTGCACAAATTGCTGAGGTAGTACTGGAATAATGGGAGGGGTTGGAAGTGGAATGAGAGGGGCCGAGGAGAATCGATTCAGCACCTGTTCTCAAAGCAAAACAGAAGTGATTTAGAGTCTTGCTACTCCTATGCTGTCTGCAGGCCAGCTGCCATCATTTGGGAGCCTGTTAGAAATGCAGAGTCTAGGAGTTGGCGTGTATCTCCATAATAGAGGACATGCTTAGCACGTACAAGGCTCTGGGTTTAATATCTAGCACAAAGAGACAGAGACATGCTGCCTGAGTGCCACTCCAAAATTACAAAATATGAATCTGCATTTTCACGGAATCCTCAGACGATCCCTCAGTGCACTGAAGTTTGAAAAGTATTGGTGAAGGAATTCATGCATTTCAGCTGGAAAAGTGAGATACCCACTTTTGTCTAATCTATAAAACATACATAACACACGACACAGGGATTTACTAAGGCCGTGTCTACCTGGACAAATATATCACTACCTACCTTAAGACAAGTACCCTTAAAATCTGAATTTATTAAAAATCTGAATGTATCGCTCAAAGTGCACTTACTTCTGTAGCAATTTATTAGATTTTACTTCACTAAGTACATAATGTTCTCCTTAATATTGTCTTCACACTCTACTGCAGACCCAAGAAAATAAAGACAATGACCTAGTAAAAGAACCACAGGTCAAATAACAACTTTGAATGATATAAAAGCACAAGACAGAATGGCTAGACAATGAAAAACTAAAAAAAAAACAAAAAAACAAAACAAAACAACAACTTGGTACCATAAAGTTAAATAGTAATTTAATTTCCATGTGAACTTGAGGTAGCGTCGTCAAGACAAAGGAACTTCAGTATCTTTTTAGATTCATGGAATTCAGCTATCTTGACAATGGATGAGCCAGGAGTCTCATGTCTATAACCCTACCTACTCAGGAGGCAGAGATGAGGAGGACTGCAGTTTGAAGTCAGCCTTGAGCAAATAATTCAGGAGACTATCTTAATACCCAAAACAAAACAGGGCTGGTGGAGTGGCTCAAATGGAAGAGCACCTTCCTAGCAAGTGTGAGGCCCTGAGTTCAAACTCCAGTACAGCAAAAAACAGAGAGAGAGAGAGAGAGAGAGAGAGAGAGAGAGAGAGAAAGTGAGAATGGATGATGACACAGATACATTTCCAAGAATTGCTCTAGGCAAAATACGTATTATAAGTTTTTGTCCACTTTTGTCTAGTTCATAAAACTAGGAGGTAGAACTTTGTGCAAATGCCACTTGTGACATTGTGAAATGCCCAGATTTTCTAGAAAACTTAACCATTATAGCCATTAGTTTTTCTTTTTAGGTTTTATGAAATAGTGACTCACTATACAGGCCCAGGCTGACCTCAAACTCATGATGCTCATGCCTCAGTTTCTTGAGTGCTAGGATTACAGACATATACTACTACATCTGATTTCATTATAGCCTTTAACAAAAAATGTGTAAGAATCAATGAACCCTCCCAAAAGCATGCATTAATTTCTTCACTTACACCCTGTTCAGTTGTTGGATAGTAGGTAACAAAGTCAAAATCCAAACATAGCACACCCAAAGTAATGCCATGACAAAGAAACAGGAAGGCTTTGCTTGTTTGTTTTGAGATACTTGAACTGAGGGCTTCATACTTGCTAGGCAGGCACTCTACCACTTGAGCCACTCCACTCCACCAGCCGAGGAAAGCTTTAATAATAATTTTTTAAAATTATATAAACACAGCTGGGCATGAAATCCCAGCACTCAGGAGGTAGAAGCAAGATCTTTAGTTCAAGTCCAGCCTGGGTTACAGAATGAGACTCTGCCTCAAAAAAATAAAAATAAATAAATAAAGGCTGGGGATGTAGCTTGGTGGTACAGTACTTGTCTAGCACATGCAAGGTCCTGGATTCAATTCCTTGCAACAAAACCAAACAAACAAAGTAACAATCTAGACACAGAACAAATATTAGAGAGAGAACATGACCAGAAAATCTATGTAGTGAGAACTCAGGACAGAAAATAGTCAAGCACCTTATGATATCTGCCAAATAGAAGGTGCTCAAGTACTTATTGAGTGAAATATTACTAGTCATGGAAGAAAGAATGACAGAGCCTATGCCTATGACTACTTTGGCACTTATTAAATAAGTCAGTAGGGAAACAGAATTAGATAGGAAGCTCACCTATATCCCAAACCATCTACAGCATCCTAATAAATTAAAAGGTTCTTTGTAACTGTGGGTAATTATTGTAAGTCACAATATACAATGAGTTACAGAAGCTAGACAAAATCATCTCCTGAGCTCACACAAATAATTAGAGCAAATATCATAAAAGCTTACAATAAAAGACCAAATAAATAATTTAAATGACTGTACTACTCTGGGACACAAACTGAAAAAGTTGAAAGATATGTAAAAGAGTCCAACAAAGGGCAGTAGAGCACGCCTGTAACTCCAGCTAAGCAGGAGGCTGAAGCAGGATAGTGAACTCAAGACCATCCTGGGCTACAGAATGAGACTCCTACCACCACCACTGAAAAAGAAATGGTGACATATTCAGCAGCTACGAATAGGCTTGAGATTCTATAGATGGTTTCACGCCTGGATTTTAATACATTAACTTATTTTCTGTCTTAAAACTATAAATTCTAAAAGCTAGTAAAGCCAGAAGGTGACTAGCAGGAAATAAAACTTATCAAGCATTCTGGCAAATACATTTGGTAAAACATTAACAACCTCAAAAGCTCATACTCCATATTCAATTCTAAAGAAATCAATCAGAAATTGATGAAAAAGTTTACTAGCATGTTTATGGAGGAATTTCTTATAGCAGAAAACAAAATAAAACAAAAATTAAAAAACCCACATGTGCAATAGAGGAATTGCTAAATCAACTATGTACTTCAATAAGACATTAATTTAAAGACAAAAAATTTTAAAATGGAAATAAGAAAATACAAAAGGTAATGCTTTCTGAGTGTATACAAAGTAACAGTGGCTACCTTTTGGTTATAAAATCAGACAATTTTCATGCACTAAGACTTCCTGCATTATTCAAGTTTTATTTTAATACTATGAATAACTTAAGATTGTTTTCAGAGATAAACAGCAGAAATTAGTACAGAATATGGCAATGTGTACAAAATGCTTGGTACTACCATTATTATTTTTTTATTGAATTTTTTCCTATGCATATGAAATTTTAACAAAGTATTTATTAGGCAAAATGCCAAAAAAACAGAAAGTAATACAAAGGTTATGGAAAACCAACCTGCTGAACTTCAGCTGCTGTGCTCCTGAAGAGTTCAATGTATCTTTTACCCAATAAGTCTTTGTGCTTTCTCAATGCATTCTGTGCATATTCCTCACAAGCAAAGAGGACAAAAGCATCCCCTGTTGGCCTACCATCTGGGTAGGTGACAAAAAGGATGCCTTCTTTGCCCCCAGTGATGGGGCAATGCTGTCCAAAGAAGGCTACCACTTCTTCAGCTGTGGCTGTGAAAGGGAGACCCCGCATCCGGACGATGACTTGATTTTCCTTGGAGAGAAACTGGGCTACCTCATTGGATGTCCCTAGGGGAAGAAATATTAGAACGCATAGGGAGAAATAGTTAAGATATCAATTTTACCAAATTTAAAATAGTAAAATTCCAGGCAATGTCTTCAGTTCGTAATTAATACCCACACTCCTACTGAATTCATAGTAACATCTTAGGAATCAGAATTTTCTTTGCTCAAATTTGAAACTCTCCCCCTAGCAATTTCATAAAACACCCTTCTTAATTTAAGAAGCTGGTCAGATAATTAAATCATATGATATGACTTATTTTCCTCTGGGAGAGATAGTAAGTCACAATAGTTAAAGGCACAGGACCTGGATGAGGATGTAGTTCAGTGGTACTGTGCTTGTCTGGCATGCACAAAGCTCAGTTCAATCCCCAGAAACACATCAACAGTAATTTAAAAAAAAAAGGAGCATAGGTCCTGGAGCCAGAATACCTGGCCTAATCTTGCTACCCTGTTTACTAGTACATGACATTAGTCAAGCTTAACCTTCATAGCTTAATTTCCTCATCTGTAAAATTTACTTCATAAACTATGAGAAGTAGGCTAATACCTTTAAGCACTTTGGGTATGTTATTTTCCTTAGTACTTTTTATTAAGAAAGCTTCCAATGCATTCAAGTAAAGACAATAGTGTAATGAATATATTCAGTTCACACTTCCAGGATTTAACCAACATTCTGGCCAAATTAAAACATTTTGTATAGCACTGCCAGAGTGTAAATACCAAAATATACCATCATTCAACCTTATACAATAGTTAATACTTTCCTTAATAGAAAATTCTTATCACACTAGCCATAGACAATGAAATCCCAGGCAAAATTGTGAATACTAGTTAACTTTGTGATTCTCAATTTGCAGTACATCTACCTTTGGACCCCAAGATCCAGTTAAGAGCCCAGCAACTCCAAATACAGTTTATCCCCAACCAATGTCAAATGCTACTTTGGAGCTTTGGAAACTATTAAACTTAAATTCCTGAATTTTTAAGCCTTGGGGTTTATCTAAAGAAAGAAAATGCAAGAATAGAAATAAATCAGCTAACTGTGCTACAGTGCTAAGAGCATGCTTTTCAACAAGTTCTCCAATTGCAAAAAATTCATCAATGCTACATTATGCAGAGATACAAATGTTCTCTGTATTTAAGTGAAAGTTGTCTTAGTATAATTTGACATGAACTGTTAAAGTCTCTCATAATTCTTAGCTTCAGCTATTCTAGTTTTAGAGATTTATCCTACTGAATAGCACATACAGAGATACAAAAATATCCACTTGAAGACAAAGGGAAAAGTTGGTAGTAAGGTCTAGATGCCTGGCACAGATGCTTAAAAATTATGACACATGATGACAATCAAGGAAGAAAGTTATAAAGCAACATGAACAGAGCAACATAAAATTATAAAGTAGATGTATGTAAAGAAAAAAAAAACAGACAAACTAACATTGCTTCTGCATCTGTTACTTTTAGATTCTAAAGTTATGAATCACTCAAGAATTACAGAAAGACTAAACTAAACGGAAGGGTAAAATCAAAGTATGTTACTTACATGTATGAAAATGTCGTAATGAAACTCATTATTTTGTACAATAAATGCTAAAAATAAAAGTAATAGAAACCCTATCTGTTCCCTCTCTTTCTGCTCATATTTCTGTGTACACTACACATTCCCAAATGCAGAAAGTTACCATGTTTCAGGCCACTGATAAATTCTCTTAGAGAAAAATTAGAAGATTTCCAACAACCTAAGTTATTATAGCATGGCTGCTTGAAAACCATTTTCAGACTCATTTCTTTCAAGAACTACCATTTCTCTTTATACACAACTTTATGTGACCCTTTCACCTTTGTATAGTACTATTTTTAATGGCTATTTAACTACAGAAGGTTGGCTTGAACCTTAGGGCAAGTGTTACAGTACATTAAGCTCACTGATACTATACTGGAAGTTCCTTCTTAACTTTTTTTTTTTTTTTTTTTTAATCAGTTCCCATGTTTCACTGGGAAATAAAAAACATTCAGAATCCCATTTATCTACTCTCAGTACATATGTGAAATTTTAGATTCTTATTATATAACATTATATAACAGGCACTTACCACCAGCAATTTTAAGAAAATCTTCACCTGTTGCTTTGTAAACCTAAGAAAAGAAAGAGAGCTTAAAACACAGTTTCTGAGTCCTTCACCATATGTTAATGATCATTCAAGAAGTCAAGCGTCTTAGGTTTGAGGACCTACCTCAATGTACCGCGTACCCATGTGATGTTTGTGCCTCTGCAGTGCTAGGTCTCTGTGCTCCTCACTTACAAACCTAACCAGGGCTTCTCCATTCCTTCGGCCCTGGGCATTCAGACAAAGTGCTGCACCTCCCCTTTGAAAATAATAAAACAGGTGGCAGGTAGGAAAAAACACAGTGAGGAGAAAAATGATAGCAAACTCCGCATCCATTCAGGACTGAGTAAAACATAGATCAAAGAAAACCAACTTGGCAATGTTGAGTCCTTTGAAGAACCTTGCGATATCTTGATCCGAAGACTGCCATGGTAAACCTCGTGCCCTGACCACAGTGTTGTCATCAATAAGTTCCATCTTGCTGCTGTGGATGAAGCAGAACATCAGGTTTCCTTATTGATGCCTGCAAGTCAGACATCTATCACCCCCTGCAAGGCAATGTTACCCATGGGGTCTTATTAATTGGGAGTTCAAAAAGACTTGCTATACTGACTTCCTTTACACCCTGGAAAGTTTTCTGGTTACAAGGTAATGTTTAGGTGGGTCACTATACTAAGAAGCTACCTATGTAGGTCCAACACAGCCAGCTCATCCAGCAAACCACCACCAGCCAAAGAGCAGCTTGCTGGCCATAAACTCAAAAGCACCCAGGATCAATTCATAGGAAGCACAGTGCTCCCAATACCCTCACAGAACAAAAAGGATAGATTTAAATTCATTCTAAGATCTAACCAGTACACGAGTGGAGGTGAAATCCCATTTGGCAGTAAAACCTAGGATCAGAATAGAGCTGACAATTAACCCACATCAGGAATGTGTACATGTAAGTCAGAAATCTGCCATTAAAATATCTCTCCTATCAAACTAGAGAACCATCACCAGGTGTTTATGAAAACAGGTGGGAGTCCCTACACTTAATGAGTCATTTGTAAATCACCTATTACACATTTTGACACCTTTTGATGTTTTGTCCTTCTCATGGTCATATTTTCAGTAATCCCAGGACATTTTCCTAATGAGTCACTTTTTCCACAACTAAATAGGATTCAAAGTCTCTCCATGGGCAAAGCAGTCAGAAGTTTCTATTCACATCAGGCACCACACAATTCACTTCAGTGAGTGACAAATATAACCAGGTCTACCTGTGATCACAGAGATACCACCATTCCACATTCTATAAGCATTTCCTTTGCTTTAAAAGTACAAACTAAGCCGGGCACCAGTGGCTCACACCTGTAATCCTAACTACTCTGGAGGCAGAGATTCAAGATGATCACAGCTTAAAGCCAGCCGGGCAAATAGTTTGTGAGTCCCCCTTCTCGTGCTTGCTTCGGCAGCACATATACTAAACAGAGAAGATTAGCATGGCCCCTGTGCAATGATGACATGAAAATTCATGAAGCGTTCCATATTTAAAAAAGAAAAACCTTTCTCAAAAATAGGGCTGGAGTGGCTCAAAGTGAAGGTCCTGAGCTCAAGCCCTAGTACCACCCCCCAAAAATGTATAAACTAATAGAACATATGTAATTTATCCCAGTGAAATCATGACCTTTTAAAGCCTATGATTTTTAGTTTAGAGTTTTCCAAATGAGAGGATAGCTAGATTTGAAAAGACTAAAATAAGAATAACAAGCCAAGTGCTAGTGGCTCATGCCTGTAATCCTAACTATCTGAGAGGCGGAGATCAAGAGAATCAAGTTTTTAAGCCAGCCTAAGCAAATAGTTCAAGAGACTTGATCTTGAAAATACACAATGCCAAAAAAAAAAAAAAAAAAAAAATTGGGCTAATGGAGTGGTTCCTGTGGGAGGGTGCCTACATACCAAGCATGAGGCCCTGAGTTCAAACATTAGTACAACCAATAATGATAATAATAATAACAATAATAATAATAACGATAGATACAAACACAGGATGCACCTAAGGTCATTGAATGACTGAAGATGCGAACACTTCATTAAATTTTAACCCATTATCCAAGCTTATTTTAAGTAACAAATGGCCTAACATTAAGAAATGACAGCAAAAAGTAACTAAACAAAGGGAGTCTTACACACAATATGAAAAAGAACAAATAAAACAGCTCTAATGAATAGAATTCACTTACCAAGTGCCACTTTCAAATTTGTAGTTTACTCTCTCTGGATCAGAAAACCTGTGATCTAAAATGAGAACATGAAAATCATTATTTTAGCTACTAGAGAGCAAAAGCACAGCTGCAGGAAAGGTGGTGGGATCAAGTTCCAGGACAGCATTATTTCCAAAGCAATACTTACTGTAGGGCTCTGAAATCATTGCTAAAATTATATTTCCCATATCTTCAACTTGAGAGGCTCCATATCGGGAGACTGAACTATGCTTGTCAAAGTTTAAACCTGTGAGATTAAGTTAAGGAAACATTTTGAAGAGGTAAAATGATGTTACTGGTAACCCCAAATTAAACTCATAAAGTCCCAAAATGCCAGAGAAAATTCTGTAGAAGTCTCAACATAACCCTTCCCATTAGTCAGGACACTCATACTCCTTGACATCTCCACCTGCTCTCTTGGATCAAATGTCCAAGTCAGTCTGGTCCTGGATATTATGGTAATAAAAATTCTGTCTAAGTAATAGCAAATGCATGAATAATAATCACTTTCATTTCACTTTGAACTATAAAGAAAGCAACAAAATTAGACTACTTCCTTCTATCTTTAGATATAAATAAGGCCATGACCATGTAACGTAACTGATATGGTTACATCAGTCAAGACATAAAAAATGACTTATTAAAAGACATTACATATTTTGGCATAATGTTTATAATGGATGCTTCAGATTACCGATGACACTATTTCCATGCTATTACTCAGAACTTCCCTTCCAGAATACTTTTAGAGCCTTATAGGAGATCCCATCTTTGATAGTAGCAAATACTAGTCCTTGGAGGGTAATGTTAGAAACAATTCAAGAACAGTCATCAGGCTGGGATGTAGCTCAGTGGTACAGCACTTGCCTAGCATGCGTGAGGCCCTGGGTTCGATCCCAGCACCAAAAAAGACAAAAAAAAAAAAAAAAAAAAACCTCTCCCCAAAAAAAAGAAGAGTCATCAATGGCACAGCACACATACTTTTGCTTTTTTGAGCTAAAGGGATTTAGTCTTACTATGTTGCCCCAAGCTGATCTGGAACTCCTCCCACCTCAGCCTCCTGAGTGCTGAGAATATAGGCATATATCTTTCATGCACAGCTAACATAGGGTTCTTGACCATGTCAGTACACTGTTTGAGTAAACCAGGAAACATGGCTCTTAAACACATGGCTCAACATCACAAGAAATTAAGTCTTATAATTTAGTAATCTTTCTAAAATAAGCATGTATTTCTAGCAAAAAATTTACCTTATGAGACAATCACTATAATGTTTAATTTCAATATTATAGTCTTTTTGCACTGTATATAAATTTTTGTAAATTTTGTAATGTAGTACAATGTACACTGAAGATAATACTATGAGTTGGGCAAGATGGCACAGGCCTGTAATCACCTGGCAGAAGGACTGAGACCCTTTCTTTGTTGGGGATAGGGAAAGTTAATACCAGACCACATATTTTTTTCTAGCGTTTAGAATGAAAACAGGCATTTGGGTGATGGTTACTAGAATATTTGCCTTGTTTTACACTGTTTTCTAACCAGTATAAAAAGCTTTAATAATTAAGATAGATGTAAGGGAAAGGTCTGTATGTGCTGTTCAGAGAAAACTAAGAGGATACATGTTGAAAGAATTCAGAGAATTCGCACCACTAATTCCTAACAAGTTCAGCCAATCATTGGGAGAGTTAATTCAGTGAAAAAACACTCTTTTTTATTCTCAGTTTAAAAATCACTTTCCATTTCACCCTGGGCTTCCTCCTTCTTTTCTTTGTAAAAAGACATTGTTAGAGCAAACTCATCTTTGTGTTGTCTCTCACCTGGCCCATCTCTCCGTAGATAATACACTATTCAAACTACTTCACCTCTCTAAGCTTGAGTTTATCTATGAAGATAAAGCTATGATAAGCTGTTGTCATTGGCTCATGCCTATAATCCTAGTTACTTGGGAGGCTAAGATCAGGAGGATTGAAATGTGAGATCAAGTGGGCAAATAATTTGTGAGACCCCATCTCCAAAAGAACCAGAGCAAAATGGACTGGAGGTGTGGCTCATGCAGTAGAGTGCCTGCTTTGCAAGCCCAAAGCCCTGAGTTCAAATCCCAGGACAACAATAACAAAAAGATTTGATAATCTTCCCCTCCCCAGGCTTTTTTGTTGAGGCAGGAGGATCAGAGTTCAAGGCAACCTTGAGCTACATAGCAAGATCCTATCTTAAAACAAACAAACAAAAAGCCCAAAGTACAAAGCAAGCTTGTAATAAGAGATGTCCTACTCCCCATCCCTCTTCCTGGAGCCCTCAGTGACCACTTTCCTAACCCATGATGAACCAGACACTTTGAGGGCTGCATTTATGATGAAAAAATCTGAACTCAGCAGTCTCCTTGTTCATTCCCACAGGATAATCATCAAGCTCAAATGGTAGATCATGTCTACATGCTCACCCCTGCCCTTTATATCATGTAGTGATGTAATAAGTGTGCTGCCCACTGAAGGATCAGAACATCAAGCAACAGATTGCAATGACCACTGATTTTTGGCCACTGATTACCTGTGGAAGGAGGTACTATAAAGTATTCAACCAGTGCCATTTACAAAGAATGACAGAAAACCCAGAGCCAAAGGATGAAGACACTGGGGAGACAAATGCCCTAAATTTTATGGAGAGGAAGGAAGGGTTGTAGAGATCCTTACAGAACAAAGACTAGTCATGAGTAGCCCTATCCTACAGATTCTGCCACCATTGTCTGCAACTTTGCAATTCTAATAATACCTTTAGTCTTGTATGGGCCTACAGTAGAGTAAAAATTACCCAAGAAAGTGGAGACCAACTTGACATATAAACCATGTTTCTTAATCTTTGCACTTATTCTGCATGTAAACCACACAATTCTTTGTGAGAGGGGGAGGTTTTCTGGGTACTGGAGGATTTTTAGTAGCATGTTAACCTTCACTCACTCCCCAGTTGTAACAACTAAAATGTCTTCTAGTAGGTAAAAATACCTAACGGTGAGAACCACTGATGTAAAGTCATAGTTCCCAACAGCTCCGCCTCCTACCATCTGCTCATCTCTTAGAGAAAGCACTTACATATAATATATAAAAGACCTTTATTGGGAAGATTTTTGCAGAGAGTTGGCCAAGAAAGCACTGCGTGTAGAGCAACATGATACACTGTCAACACCGGGATACACGTGGAACCCCATCAGCAAATACATACGCGCACCTTAGGAAACCTAAAAGAAAAGCACCCACTTATACAGGAGGTGATCCTTCGTCCTCAGCATGGTTTTGTGCAGCTCAGAACAAAGAATAGATTTTACAGGTTTATAGGATTATAAAAAGAAGAATATGAGCAGAGCCCATATGTGGTACACAGACTCTAAAATATGGACTATCAGGTCCTTTACAGAAAAAGCTTTGTCTCTGTCCTAGAGGAATGGGGGTGTCCAAATAGAGACACTACCACAGGACTGTTGCCCATATCATAACTTTCCATCCCAAAACACAATACTGGGAGGAAATTCAGGTTTGGAGAAATAGGAACGTAAAAGGATTTTCCATTCAAATCCACTCCATTAACTCATCTATAAATAACAAGAGATTATATAACCTCCTCACCTTTGCTTAAGTAACTTCTTATAAACCACTCTTATCTTCTTAATCCCCTAACCAAATTGGACTATGAGTAACCGCCACATAGCACCAAAGACTTCCCTACCTGCTTTCAGCAACAACCATCAATTTAAGAGTCCATCAGATATTATCTCTGCAATAAATTACTCTCTTCTACTGTATTATTTACATTTCCTGGCACCTACCTTGCTCTGATCTTTCTACCCTTCACAGCCCTGAGAGCTTCTAAAAATACACTGACATAAATAAAGGCATTTATTAAACACTATTTTGTCCAAACTACCATCTATTTCTTCCAGTTTTCACAATAACCTCACCAAGAAGATAAAGGCACTGGGATTAACTGACGTTCCACAACCCACTCAGTCACCTAGCTGGCAGGAAATGGAACCAGACTTACATCACAGCTCTGATGTGATTTTGTGTACAAAATTCCCTGCACCAAGCTTAAGAAGCTTTGCTTAATTTGTTTTGTTTCGAAAATTCATAGATAAAAGCCAAGTGAAGGAGATAGAGATCAAAAGTAAAAATGTGAAGTCTCCTTTCTGTGTTGAAACAGATTTGTAGGGAAAGAATAATTTTGCTGAATTCTCCTTTTTAATTAAGAATATGTTGTTGGCATCCGGCTAACGTGACTCTATGTAACACGCACCAACATGCTTCCCTTTGAGCCATCACAGAGGTCAGCAGCTCTATGCTGCTAACAACTTTTAAGTCACCCGACCTCCTGCATGCTCAAACCTCCTCCTTAAACACACATACACCTCTCTCAAGTTTGTTCAACACATAATCCTCACCCAAATTCAACACAAATAAAGAGGTATTTTTTAAGAATGTTGTATAGTGCCAATTCCTTATCCCATCAACGTATATAGTTAGTTCTATTTTGAATTACTTGCTGCACAGCTCATCTTGAGAAGATGAGTCTGGCCTCCTGATTTATGGCTTTGTCATGCAATTTACTCATTCTGCCCTTGAGGCAGCACAACAGCACAAACAGGCTTGGCCAGCTTTACAAACAAGAAGTGCCAGGAGGGAATGAGGAAGGGTACAGCCTAGCATGGTGGGAACAAAACTAACATTTCAGGCTAGAATTGAGTTAGAGCACTGGAGAGACTTTGCGCCACATGGACAAAGAGGAAAGTTTTCCTTAGCATCACCATTGGTGAAATAGGGTAAGATTTCAGCACTGCTTGTATCAGCTGAAGGTATAATTTAGAGGAAGAAATTTATGCAGTTCATTAGTATTAGCTTATCTACCAAAAAAAAAAAAAAAAAAGTCTTTCCTGACTGACAGAATGGATACACAGTTTTCACTTGTAATAACATCTTTTACAAACTTTAGTTTTGAGTTTGTATCTGAAAATCACACATATATAATAAATACATTAGCTGTGAACCAATTAAGTTTAAAAATCTATAATTAAATCCCAACTCAAAATCCCATCTCAGAGCCACTGTCTTTCCTGCCAAAGAGACCTCAGAAGACAACTTTGTTATATCTCTTTTTACTGTTTTCTTTTTTATTTACAATGTGACAATTACATATGTTGTCAGACATATTAAAATATCTATGGTAGTGAAGAAAAGAATAGCAAACAGATACAACATA